CTTAGTACAGCGGGTGCCCACTTCCACTCTTCGAAAGTGAGACTCTTAGCGCTCATTTTGATCGGTATCGCGTCGCAGCGAGCGGTCGCGGATACAACCAACACATTTTTCAACAACCCCACAGTGGAAATTTCAAAATCGGCTGAAATTTCCTCAAGGACGGTCGAAGACTTGTACGAAACCAAAAGAGAAATCGATTGCAACGGGCCGATCGAACAGGGGTTCGACGCGTCGACTGATAAACCGTTAATCAGTCTAATGTCGAACGGACTTGCCTGAGGGTGAATCTACTTCTGTGAAATCCCACACTGCCCACCTTAACAATAGGTTTAGCGAAGAAGGAAGTACTAACAGGAGTCGCATTGGTGACGTTTACTTCTACTGAATGTGTTATTCCCGGCGAACAGGAGCCTGAAGTCACGTTGTAGACCAATATACCAGTGTAGCAATATATATTTGATTTCCTCAGATTTTTTTACGAAAATTCACACACGATCTAGGGTAGAAGTATGCGAAAACCAACACTATTTTTCCAGATTTTCCTCAGAATTGTCATATTGTCACCGAAAAATGTGCATTCATATTCCCACACTGTACTATACGTACCGAAATCGATGCGCACATGGCCGTCCTCAGTAGTAAGGACCCTCTGGTCTGTTGAGTCCTCCTTGGTGAAAAGAAGATGAGGAACTTTGGCAATCCCGTACACCTGCGAAAACGTGGGAGTTGGAGAACGCAATTCGGAAAAAGTTCTTTTATTCATGGGAAAGTTGCATAAACTAAAATCCGGGAAATTCTTTTATACATGGGAAAGTTGCATAAACTGGAATGCGAGAAGTTCTTTTATACATGGGAGAGTTGCATAAACTATAATCCGGGAAATTCTTTTATACATGGGAAAGTTGCATAAACTAAAATCCGGGAAATACTTTTATACATGGTAAAGTTGCATAAACTAAAATCCGGGAAATTCTTTTATACATGGGAGAGTTGCATAAACTGAAATACGGGGAATTCTTTTATACATGGGAAAGTTGCATAAACATACGAAAAGTTGATACCCTTACCCGTAGAGGAATCTCCTGAGACTCGTGCAGCATATGGTGGTTATTCTCATCGCCAACACCAAGCCTGGACAGATCATCGATGGAAGGCTGACAGAAGACCCAGGTTCGAATCCCAGTCGGGATATTTCTCTACCCCGGCAGTCGCTGTAGCCACGACTAGACCATCGATGGTCTGCCCGGTTTCAGGGAAGATCCTCAGAATATACTCGGCTGAACCACCAACAGGAATCATCTCTGGAGAGGCGTCAGGATCTAGGGAGAATGGCTTCAAGAGCTTCCACGTTATACGCGCTGGACGTGAACCTGACGAGTTGACGAAAGAGTGGTATGAATCTTGCACGCATGCACATGACCAGTGTTGTAAAGATGTATGAGCTTAGTACTGGTTTCACCAGCGGGAACGATACCAAAATCAACAGTCGCGTTGGGGACCTTGTGGGTGATAGAAAGGGTGTTAACCTCAGCTCGAATACGACTGAACCAAGAAGAATATCTTAGGTTGCTCATGACAAGATATACATTAGGACCGCTGGGGGAACATCTGCGACTGCTGGGGTCTTCACGTGAACGACAATCTCGTCTAGTAAGGGCTCGTACGCTGTCGGCCTGGGGAGAATATTTTTTAACAGTGTTCGCTCTCCTCAGCTGATCTTAGGAGGTTCCTCACTAGAAGTTTAGTGACAAATTGGCGTAGGAGACTACAGAAACCAACGAGAATTTTACGAAAATTATATTTCCCACACAGATTTTTGACCTAAAGCTCACTTAAAGGTGACAGGAATTTTCTCGGTTAAGCCTGGGGGAATCTTGATCGGCTTCGGATAGGGTAGTGATAGAAATCGCGATCGCGGCAAAGTGTACCTATTTTGAGACATACCATTCGGGCAGGAAAAATATCTTTCATACTTAATAGTGACAGGAACGAGCCAATCGTTTCTGATGGGAAATGTTACAGTCACTTCTTCACCAACATCCCATGTAGTAGGAAGAAAGCGAATTTCGTCGGGACAGGAAATCTGAAATGCAGTTTGGGAATATATAACAAATGTGTTGGTGATGATATATAAATTCTGAGGAGAATCTGAGAAATTAGCGTTGGTTTTTGCAGACTTCTACTCTACGGATTCGTGTATGAAATTTCATAAAAAAATCGAAGAAATCGGAAAAAAATTTCCACACTGCTGAAATGAGACCACCGAGTAAAACCCACTCCGCAGAGTCGGAGTCGCTCTGAAGCTTGTAAGGCTTGGCCCTCGGGAATCACCGTTATTTTGACGTTCCTCTTGCCGGGATTCTGAAGCGGAAGGTTTATGCAACTTTACTAGCTACAATTATATTCCATCACATGTGGGGGAGAAGGCCTAACATCAGAGTGATAGTTAGGAGGAGTCGGCTTATAGGTGTCTGAAAGCCTTGGGGTCTTCAGAACTCGAGTTGGACTATTGACCATTCTGGATAACTGACAACTTGTCCAAGATACGGTTCATGTTCGGCTCATAATCGATTAGAATGGCGCGCGCGATTGTCACGTGTATTATTTGACTTTGTCCATGCATAGATCTACGCAAGACCATTGTTAGGGAAGCTTAGTGTTTTGTGTTCGAATGTCCAGGGATCCTCGAGGAGCTCCTGCTGGTGGCGCTGGATACGATAATCGGACTGCTAAGGTAGTAAGGGTATCTTGAGGTTGAGATGGTATGATACAAAATAGGTCCAGTATAGGACATTTTCCGTAACCGCGCGATAATCGATCATCTCTTATCAGGCTCGGATTCCGAAGGCTCATCAGGACTGGAAGATTCCCGAGCAGTATGAGATTCGGCAACTGATCGGCACTGGAAGCTACGGACACGTTTGTGAGGCCTACGATAAAGTAAGAGTATTATGAAGTTGATTTTACTTTGTAGTTTTGTTCGGTTAGTATAATCAGAGGATTGTTGCTATTAAGAAGATCCACAGAGTGTTTGAAGATCTCATTGACTGCAAGAGAATTCTCAGGGAAATTGCTATACTCAATAGGTAATCGAATGTTCGATGCCAGGGGCTATGGTGAATTCACTATTCAGGCTTGACCACGACCACATAATAAAGATGTTGGATATCTGTCCGCCTGATGACCTCGAGAAT